AAATACCACTAGGACTGGTCCATACCAATTGGTATATATGTATATGTATATATATATATATATGTATATGTATGTATTTATATATATATATGTATATGTATATGTATATGTATATGTATATGTATATATATATGTATGTATATGTATATATATATATATGGTCAACCCCTCGTTACCTCTCATGATGCCTGCCTGAGTGCCAACCACCATACGCCTGGATACTCTTCCTCTGTTTCCTCCCCCTTCCCTCTGCCGCATCCTCTCTTTCTCTTCTTCTTTTCTCTTCTTCTTCTCCTATCCTCTCTTCTTCCTTTCCTCCTCCATATTTCAGTATGCCAACAATCAGTATGGATCTGGTATCTAAGATTCTAACATAGAGGAAGGATTGTTACTACGAGACTGGTATGTACTGGCTGGTGTTTGCTAGTCCGATCATGATCTTGAACCCAAATGGCCCTTTTCGGGTGGTCCAAGTGTGGTACATGGCTTGCCACTTGTTCTGATTTTAAACAATGATCTGGCTTTTTCTGATTGTTGTAATGTCCAACTGTAACAATCATGGCCTTAACGTTATACCGTTATCCAGTTATTTTTGTTTTGGAAACATAAACAATGTATTTTGCTGCATCTCTGCTACTATATTGGCTTTTCATGAGAACCTTTAGATAACATTAGTAAACTTCTGGACGACGACGACGACAGCAAATAACAACAAAGCCATAAGTCCCAACTATTTGGGGTCGGTTATATGGATCTTTTGTCATCATGGAGATATATAAAAAGTCAATACTAAAATCGGTTAAGATTCATGTTCATAAGATATGACATAGTTTTATGCTGGTTGTCAATGACCTACTGCAACTCTCTATTTTTCTCATTCAAGCTTGGGGCCGGCATTGGCAATATTATTAGTAAACTTCTGGGCCAACTAATTTATCTGAATCTAGTTGTAACTTTGAGAATCAGCATCTGAAGCTCCAGACTTAGATAACTGATTATTATTTGTGTTAGTCATATATAATTACTTGAAAAAATTATTTGAACTGAGATTACCGTAATATTTGCTGATAGTTTCTTGCACTAGCCAGTGGTTATTGAAATTTTGTTGGTTGGTTGATTTTGACTTCTTGACATTGGAGAATGGTGGTACATCAATAAAATATATCCGTGTCTGCATGTAGGTCCTGTAAAATGCTTGATGACTTCGATTATAAACACTGTTTACTAACTTGTGCAAAGTGAAGGAAGGAGTTAATTCTGTTATTGCATATGTGCTCTCAATTGTTTGTTCACTGTGTGTGCTCGTGTGCAAACTTTATCTGCATTTCTGTATGCACTGCTTGGGTGGGCTGACCTGTGTATGTGCTTGTGCTGACTGACGAGGTGGCTCTAGTAGTATGTGAAGTCAAAAGTCTGTAGTGATTGTCATTTGACAGATGATGATTAAACATGTATCTTCTAGCTGGAAGTTCAGTTTTAGTGAAAATGCATTGTTTTTCTTAGGAAACTAATATTAGTTTCTTCTTCATGGTGTGGTTGGCCTTTTTCACCGTTATTGTATATGCTAGCTTTGAAGTAGAGCATAACACTAGGATGGGAAAGGTCTCTCTAAAGGAAGAAGTATTGTATTTGTTATTTTCAGTTACATGGTTTAAAATACTGATCAGACCAAGCACCGAGCACCGACAATGTACTGACTAATTTGCTGATCCGACCAAGCACCAACAATGGACAATGCAACTTAGTACTGCTTATTATATCATTAGTTTCTTTTATTAGTTTATTCTGTTATATGGGTAGTCATTGACAAAAAAAAAATCTCGGTTGGTGCCAGTCTTGGTAACCGGTTGAATCTGTATGGTACCATTCTATCAGCTGACCCATTCTGCTTGGTATTACCAGAAAAGAATAATAAAAGAACAGATATACTGACTAGTATTAACCTATATGGTCTGCTACTGGTCCGACCAAGGACCGAAAAATAACAACTGGTACGTATCCATACTGACTGTTATCCGATCCTTTGGTTATAGGCCGGTATTTTTAGAGTCTTGGCCATGTATCTGTCAGACAGATTGTCGGAACCAGTATCAGACTGGGGTTTAAAACCTTATATTAATCAAATGCATTGCATCCTGCATCCTAGAAATGAATACTGTTGACATGTTACGTAATGCTCAGATGTTGGTGAGTCTTCACTATGTAGTGGCCAAAGGGCATGATATTATGTTATGGTGGCTGCAATAAACAGTGTTTAGATAGAAACAAGCTTCAGCCACAATGCAAGATTAAGATTTAGTTCATACTTTATCCATATCCCCTGATCGATATCAGTATAAGCTGATCTACATAAGGATCTTCCCCTTTATAGTTGAGAAATCCCATTGTTATGGATTAGTGCTCAAATTGCTATTGAAAATGGCCAGAATTAGCTGGAATCTTCCAGAATCAATCGGGAATTAGCGAAACTCTCTGAGATTGGTTGATACTTGAAAGAATCAGTTTATTCTGGTAGATGAATACCAAATCATGGAGGGGGAGTTATAGGTCCAACAGCCACCACCACGGCCACTTGTAGTGAGAGGAGGGAGAAAGGGAAGGAGACTGTCTGCCACAAGATTTGCCACACCCATTGCTATGTGACAGTTGCAGTCATTTCCTGCTCACTGCCTTAAAGTTTTCTATTTTGCATTGTTTGGTTGCTATTGTTGTCAACACTCTTGCCACCACAAAGGTGGCTCTGCCTTCTCCTAGAGAGTGATGCGTCTGCATTGCTATGCTTCAGTCTCTATCACTGTCTGCTCATAAATACAAAGTCACTTTGACCTTCTTCTCAAATAAGAAATGGGGAGAGATAAAAGGGAGATGAAAACCAGGCCCGTCAATTACTACTTGATGCTACAAAGTTACCTTCACTTGCTCCTTCTTGAGATCGACAGTTTGTTGCTGCCTCACTTCCTTGGCTAGAATTTTCACAGCAATGTGGAAATTGCATGTGAGAAAGGTCACAACTTGAAATCGCTCAAGTTGGGCAGATTAATATCTTCAATCAAGTTGACAAAAGGTCCATAGAAATTCAACTGTTTTTGACTAAAGATGTTCAAATTCAACATACATGGATCACTCTATATCAAAATTAAACAAGTTTAAAGCCAGTTTTGGTGGTTTAACCTATATGGACCATTTTGTTCTTTTACAAGAAAACCAAATTAACTTGGCTCTTTCAATTACTAGTATAAACTTCTATACAATATTTTAGATGCCATTTTCTTTTACATGTCAATTGTTATGCTAATGAATAAGAATTGATTTCAGATATTGCTTTTATTGTTGTTGGGAACTGTTCAGAGTTTCATGGTAACAGACCTGTCTTGATTTCATTGTCCTACTTAATTAGTTCCATGCTGTCTATATTTGTGACTTGTCTACTCCAGTTTGCTGGTGTGAAACTTATTTGAATTTCTTATATATAGAAACATTTATTTTTTACCAATAATTATCACAAAATATTGATAGAAATTTTCTTTTCTCTTTTTTATGCATTTGTTTTGTATATTAGCTGGATATTGTAAAGAAATTCCAACAAAGATATTCTAATATCCTATTTATTTTTTAGCTTGTTGAGCTATACACTTGGATTGACATTCATATTGGACTCTTCTATGTCTATCGGTAACACTGATGGACAGTTGCTGTTTTAATTTATTTGCAAGTCATTTTGGCTATTTATTAAAAATGCAAGGGCTTAATCAAAGATGAACTCTGTTTTCCTCTGCATAACTTTATTTGTAGTATAAAATACAATCACACCGATGGGGACAAATAGTTTGTTTTTTTACCTTTTTATTAGTTATCTGTCTCTTATTTTGATTATTCTTATTTATTTCTAATGTCTTTCTATATTTTTTCTTTATAAGTTTTATTTATTAATTTTTAAATTGTTTTCTTGGGAGATTCCAATTCCTATCCATTTAATCCAATCTGTCTGATTTAACTGTACTGCCATTTGTCAAACCTGGACTCAATTTTGATCTTGCAATTTCTGATATAAATGTGAATACAATCTCTATTGAATTGACAATAGTGCACTTTATGTTGTAATGTACATGTCAATTGTTATGCTAACAAATAAGAATTGATTCCAGATATTGCTTTAATTGTTGTTGGGAACTGTTCAGAGTTTCATGGTAACAGACCTGTCTTGATTTCATTGTCTTACTTGATTAGTTCCATGCTGTCTATATTTGTGGCTTGTCTACTCCAGTTTGCTGGTGTGAAACTTATTTGAATTTCTTTATTGCTTGCTTAAAGCAGGTTTTTGCTGGTGATGATTCAGAGCCTGATTCTCCAAAAGATAATCAATCTTCATCAACTAAGACAGAATTGGTTATGGATTCGAAAGCTCATCATAATGAGCAATCTTTGACAAGCAATAATACTGAGAAGTCAGTGGCTGAGAAGGATGCCTCTGATGTCTTACCTACGCAAGAATCTTCCATGTCAATGGGAGAAATCTTATCTTCCCTACATCCAGGAAATTCTTTACCAGCTCATGTAGCTGAATATAGTGTAGATAGATACTCTAGTAAAGTGAATGGATCGCACACACATATGAAGCGCACTAATTTTTGGGGCCGCAACAATGTAAGTGGTTTAATCCATTAAAGCTTGTCAAATATGAAGTTGGCAATGAAGACTACATAAGAATTTCTAAAATTTTGGTTATTTTCACTGTTGCATGCTTACCATGGATAAGTTCACTTTGATTATGATGAGTCAGAATAAGAGATCATCAATCTCCCTCGGCCTAAAACTGTCCAGAACATGTTTCTCTATTCCACTTTTGATTTTTTTCATTTATAATTTTAAGGCAATGTTTTTATTCATTAAACTTGAGGATAGGAATGATTTATAAATGTTTTTATATGATACTTATTTATTTGAATATTTCAGGCCAGAAAGAATCAGCCACTCGAACAAGTTGATTCTTCTGGAGAAGAAGAGTAAGTTCTCTATTGCACTCTTGAAATATTTTGAATTTTAAAATGACACAATGTTATATTATATATTGCATTATATTTGCCAGAATAGACACTTTATGTGTTATATTTAATTTCTGTTCTCTTGTTATTTCTCGTATTGGTATGTCTCTATAATTATTTTGTTAGTAATTCAGAATTATAGACATTACAAAATTGATTTAGCCTTGAACTGACAATCTATTAGAACAAAATGCTAAAATCTGTTGTAATTCATTAAAAAATTGCTTTTGCTATTCTAAGGGTTTATCTTTGGAACCCACATATGTGTTAGTGTATGTTTAGCACATACTTTAATAGAAACATTTATCGAAAAGTGGCTTATAATTTCCTGATGAGCCTATTCTTCGACTGCTAATTGGAACTTAACTTTGATAGGCTTGCTATTCAAAGGCTTGAGCTCACAAAGAATGACCTTCAAATAAGAATAGCTAAAGAGGTATGAGTTGAAAATTTCTCGAGGCATAGCATACTTGACAGGATGGAGATTGTGTACATGATTACTGAGACTGTGTGATGATACTTTTTAGGCAAAAGGCAATGCCATTCTACAAGCAAGTTTGGAAAGAAGAAAGCAGGCTTTGCACGAGCGTCGATTAGCTCTAGAGCAAGATGTATGTGCTTTTCCCAAAACCACTATGTAGCCTACTCTTCTTCAGTGTTCTGTATGTTCGATGCATCTTATACTTCATGAATTATTTTAAAGCTGTGACATGGCAATAGAGCCTTTTTGCTTTTATGTTAGTATGCATTTGTTTTATATAAAAAAAATACTTCATTGACATTAAATAAGATTAGGAGTTTTTGTTTTATCAAATGGAGGTATGTTGCCATCCTTTTGGCATGACATGATTCCATGCTATTCTGGTTGGCATGCTCCTGTGTCAGTTGACACAGGCCACAACTGGGATAGCCACATGCTGGCACCTTTTCTATGGATCGGCATGGACAAGGACAAGCTGGAAACATCCTGGCATAATACATTTTGATTCAAGGATGTGTCCTAATCGTGATGACTTATTCAATATATATCATTCTTCATAATATCTTGGCACCTCTGGCAGCAGTTTGTGCTTGACTTGCTTTTTGGCTGCTTTTCAGTATATTTATCTTTTATTATGGTGTGCATGAGCTCTTCCTTTTGGATGTTAAATTGGCTTACATAAAATTGCTTATTTATGTCAGATTATTGATCCTTCAAGCAGCAAGTAGAAATGGATTCACATGTTCTCATATAGTAACATCACTTTTGTCCTTAAGATCTTTCCCTTGTCCATTGATGATTATGCTTATAAAATTTGGTGGAATTGTAGAAATGATGGTATATTTGAATGATATAAATTGGCTATACAAAGGCGCAAAACTATTCGTGAGTCTCAATAAGAGCTGCAAGATACTTTTGTTGTAATTAGTGACTAAGTATTGAAAATCCATTTTTTCAAAAGCATCCACAATGTGGCAGGGTCATGGTACTGTCCAGTGTATATGTGGTACTTCGAAGCATGGGCAACCTCATGTAAATTTCAGTTAAATATATATAACAACGTTAAGTATAAATTAGGCATATACATTGAAGTTGAAGTAATAGGTAAAAATATGCAAAGATTAAATATACATTAAAGGTTTTCATTGTGATAAGTTATAAGAAATAACTTGTGGTTGTGAATGTGCTATATATTGCACATATTGAACATTTTATCAAGGCCACATTGCCTTATGTAGGATATAATTACTCGTGCATATGTGCAGCCAGATAGACTGCATTTAGCCTGCTAAAAAAATTTTATACTCGACAATGAGAAAATAAGAGTAAATATTTTGTTAATATTTTTCTTCTAAGAGGCTAGGATGAGGATCTTGTAAAAGATTCAATGTGAAGTTAAAATATTTAATATAATTTTTGTTAGTCTCAGAACTACTAAACAACTATGCCTCTTTAAAATGTTAGGTACTTCAAAGTGAGGTAAGACCCAAACGTATAAAGGAAGGATCCAATCATCAGGGTTATGAGGAGCAAAATTTTGAGTCTCGTATGTGTTTTATAAGCAAAACCTCATTGCATTTAGTGTTTGAGAGGTAATAACCTAGATCAAATAAAGACCCAATGATATGGAAAAAAAGTACAACAAACAAGCTGAAGGATTCAACAATGTCTGATTCATTTTACATTCTGGGGAGCCAACCTTTATGTTCTTTTATATGTACAATAAGTTTTGAAGAAACAATTAGTCCTCTTAGATATGTGCCTTAGTTACCTCTCCCAACTTCTAATCTCTTCCTAATCACAAATTCTAAGCTCACCTTTACACTTCAATCTTTAAATTTTAGTTAGGTTATTTTTCACATTAATGTACTACACCAAAGTGTAGACTTAAAGAATCATAGTTGAGCAATTTTGGAAATCCTTAAAGAGAATCACACCAGATAGGTCAATACCGATTAGTAGATACCAATCCAATCGGTCTTTGAAACTTTAGTTATATTGTCACGACTCGGGCCTGATAGGCTAATTAGTTTGTCAATTTCATTGAATCGAAACCACTGATCAAAATGCCTAAGCTGAAATTAATAATAATATATCAATCAAACCCTTGTAAGTCAATTTAAGTCTTGTTCACTTCCGATGTGGGACTAATTGGGGAGTTACAATCTCCCTCACTTAAGGGTTTGACGTAGTTCTGATCAAACCATTGCTTGGTGCATGTGAGACGTAATCCAATGGTGGCTCAAGCCTCCTAACCATGCCCCAATACTAGTTTGGCTCTGATACCAAATGTCATGACCCGGGCCTGATAAGCTAATTGACCTTTTCACTTCGTTGAACCTAAACTACTGATCAAAATGTTTGAGTTAAAGTTGACAATAGTATACCCATCATATTCTTATAAGTCAATCTTAGTCTTATCCACTTCATATACAGGGCTAATCGGGGTGTTACATATATAGACAACTATCCTTATGGATCAAATTGTTGGGCAATCAAATAAGTTAGGAAATTATTTATGGAAAATATTTGTGTTGCTAATGATGTATGGATGTCTAAGTTACTAAGATAAAAAAAAAAATGAAATGATCGTATTTGTAGAAGTTAATGTGGTACTTATAAAGGGTAAAATAAATATTTGGTATAAATATTTCTTTGGTATGTTTGGTGTGTTTATTAACCATTAGTAAATAGATACGTCCATTTAAATAATTACCTTTTATCATTTAATGATTCTAATTTAAAAATTTTCCTTGTCCTCAATTTATGGCCTTTTTTGACCTATTCAGCAAAATAGGGGCTTGTTGCTGGATTGGTCTTAAGTTCCAGGAGCAGGTGACCAGAACTCTGGAAAGGTCAAAAGGTCTATGAAGCTTATGTGAATATTTAGGAAAGAGCTTACATTTTCTAACTGTGACTGTATACAAATTAGACCTTAATTTTCTCATCAGACTTGTATCTGCTTGGCATTATAGAAAACATAATTCTACTTTTGTATGGAACACAACTTTAATGTGAATATCTTTGTTTTCATTTATAATGATAGCTATTGTTGCTTTATGTTGAAACAGAAGTTCTTATATATAGCGGCACTACATGCCTTGAAGAACTAGTGTTATTGACTAGTGAATTTTCTTTAGGTTTCAAGACTACAAGAGCAGTTACAGGCTGAGAGAGACCTTAGAGCTGCTTTGGAGGTTGGTTTGAGCATGTCTTCTGGACAGTTCTCCAGTTCACGTACTATGGATTCTAAGGTATGTCTATTGTTTTATAAATGTACCAATACTTGGAAGGATATATTGGATTATGAAAAATGTGCTGCTTTCTGTGAAGACAAGGACAGAACTTGAGGAGATCGCTCTTGCTGAAGCAGATGTTGCCAGATTGAAGCAGAAGGTTGCAGAGCTCCATCTCCAACTTAATCAGCAACGCCAAAATCAGTATGGATCGATCCCTCATGCTTGTGACCGATATCAGCACCTTCCAGCACCTCTCCTACAGCAGTAAGATATTGTTTGCACATAAACTTCATATGAATATTTTTTTGGGCATGTCAAATTTATAAAACTATACTCACTATCTCTTTACGTAACACAAATTTTAATTACTAAGATCCTATCTCTGCCTCTCTTCACATCGACAATATTGTCTTTTAGATCCTTATGTACAATAAAGCTATACCTTTTATTTGGTCAATGTTTTCTTTAGTGAGCAAGGCTAAAGATCTATATAATATTGGATCTCCAAATATAACAATTTGGATTATGCACCATCTTCATTTGGAACACAAATTTACCATGTAGGAAAACACTAACCATAGGTCATGGTTACAAAGGGGTATCCCAGTAACTAAGATTCGTGGTTACATTTCTGATTTACTTAACTAATGGTCTAGAGGATTGCCCATCTTGCATCTGCAGTGCAAGGAGTCCAATCTTCTCTTCTAAGCAATATGTGCCACACAATTAAACTTATTTTAGTTCATGTTATCGGATGGTTGTGACATTATTTCTAGTTACATTACCAATAGTACTTTTCTTTTACTTGTGTACACCTATCCAGTTATCCAAATGCAGTCAACTTTTAATTTTATGTTGCAAAAAGTTTTTTTAATCTGTAATTTTAGCATGTTTCTTATCTTGGTACCACAATTTTGTATATCTTTTGCAGGAAGATTGTCCAACAAGATTTTGATATGAGCCTTGCTTTTTGCAACCATGAGAAGAAACAAAGAAGTGAGGCAAGTCTAATAGACTCTTTATTCTCTTGCATTATTTTACAAATTCCTCTCACAACAGCATTTGATTAATCATTAGTTGTTATTTACCCTATGATTATTGATTTTCATAGTAAAAATAAGTGAAAATTCAAGTCCCCCATGAAATTTCAATTTTAGAATTAAATTTAATAATCTGTATATATAAGAAATTTTTATATTTTTACAGTAAAGAAAAAAAATACTATTGATGTAGTTAATTAGAATATCTACTATATCTTTGTCCTTGTAAATAAAGGTCCCAATTATATATTAAATGCTAAGCTTTTAATTTTGAAGCCATTTCTCCTAAACTTATAATTACTGTTTAATTTCTCCATTTCCTTTTTATCTCTTTTTCCTGGCCCTTTTCTTCTGCGTATAATGTTGGGATGTGTTCCCCCTACTAAAGGCTTATCTACCTTGAGTGACAAGAGGACCTCAACAACAAAGAGGTTAAACTAAGGTAAATAAAGCTAACATATTAAATAAAATAAGATATCAAACTCAACTCATGACATGTAGTGCTCTATTTTTCATCCATGTTTAAATCTCAACTATGTTCTGGTTTTGTAGTTAATGGTGTATGATGTGCATCTATAACTTTAGACAATGTGTATCTAAAGATGTAATTTGTGGGCCACTCTGGGATCTTTTTTCCTGCATTGTTCATCATGAAGCTCTTGTACATTGAGAAGATTAACCACAACAGCTGATTCTACAAAGTTGTACATGTTAATTTTTTTGTCGCCTACATGTTTTTTGGGGAATGAAGGTCCCTAGTGGCTTAAACATCTTTTAGCAAGGAGACATTTTTACTGATTTCTGGATTTTATTAGTAAGGAGTGAATCCAGGATTTATATTCGATATTCAATTTGTCAAAAATGAAATGAAGACTTTAAAATGCCATCATTCTGGAATTTTAAGTATGTTTGGTAATTCTGGTAGCTCATATCCTATATCATCGCAGGAGAGCTCATCAGCAACAGAATGGAGGAGCATCAAGCCTCAAATGCCACCTTATCCTGGTTCCAAACAGCTTTCTAGGAAAAATGCTGCAGATAAAGCAAGTCTGAATGATTTAAGAGGTATGGAGATGGAGGCATCGACCAGCATGCCATCAGAGGCCAATCCCAGCATGGTTAGCAACAGCATGCCCAAGGCCACCGAGGTAAGCGAATCCATTTCTGAAATTTCTAGATCTCCCATAAATATTGAAGGGTGGGGGGGGGTTTATCAGGGTGCTGAACATCTAAGGCAGCCGCTAGTGGCATCTTCGACTCTGGTGGAACTGACGACCCGTCTTGATTTCTTCAAAGAGCGGAGATCGCAACTCATGCAGCAGCTCCATAGCCTTGATCTGAGCCATGGGGCATCCTCACAAGGTCTGGCGTACAAATCCTCCCCTCCTTGGAACAACAGTCCCAGATAAGGCATTGTGGCCACACCCACTTGTATATCCTTGATTTGTGCAATCTGCCATGCATAATAGTCCTCTTTGCATCTGAAACCTGTTCTGGGTAAGGTTTGCTGCATTTGTGGTGATTGCTGCAGGAATGTAAATTTTGGTATCCTTGTTTCCTTATTCTCATCACGTGTGATGGAGAGAGAGAGAGAGAGAGAGTTGTATCTTCCTTAGTACAGTCCATTCCTTGGTTCTGGTTGCTATTTGTTTAGCAGTTAGTCTTGAATACAATACCAATGTACTTGATAGCTTGTGGAACTTGACTTCATGTCTCTTTGTGGTGCTGTAACTTAAAGGGGCTTTACATCTATCGTTTCAAAGTCTGGAAGCAGCATATTTTGTCTTATACACTTTATTAGTGCGAATATACCCCCTCCAAATGTTTGAAATCTTCTATATGCATCACTCTTGCTAATATCCGTCTGATAAACTCTTACCAGTTATTAAATATCACAAATGCACTTTTTACTATTTTAATCAATTACTTGACCTCATGTTCTGTAACATGGTTGTGGGCTTTTCAATATTAATCCGAGCTTTGATATTGCTATGTTTAGTTTTAATACCTAAAAACATCATATTTAGATTTTTTTTTTTCTTTTTTAGCTTTCTAGCGTTTATGCACACTTAAAGTTAAATTTGGTGGTAGTATGAATATATGTGATATATGCAATCTTGCCAGAAAAAAGAATAGGGTGGCACAAAATGTGGTTTAATAAAGTGTTTTTATCTTCATGTCTATGTTTGAATAGGATATCTCAGAAGAGTCGATGTCATGCAACTATTTCTAGACAAAGAGAAACGGGCACTTTTTGGAATTAAAAAGACATTTCACCCGACAGAATGGGCTATTAATTCGATGTGAATGCATTCAACTGTCAAGTTTTGGATCCAAACGAGCAATCCAACCGACGGTTAAACAATCCAAGTTTTATTTGCTACCCGAACCAAATAAATAATAATAATAATAATAATAATAATAATAATAACAATAACAAAAATAACAATAATAATAATAATAATAATAATAATAATAATAATAATAATAATATTAATAATAACTACTTCAGAAATGAAAATTGAAAAAACGAAAAAAAAATTCTGGCAAATGAAAAAACTACAAAAAAAATTAAAATGAAAAATGAAGTCACTTGAGCTCACTTTTGTTCAAATAATTGCACTAAAAAAAATGACAAATAGTAACCCAAAAAAGAAAATTCAAATTTGTCCTCCATTAAAGAAACAGGAGTTGCAGTTTGCTCGGCGTAGAAGGTCTTCGATCACAAGTTGCACTATTTTAAGCTCTGGCATCTGGAAATGCTACATGATTGCATATACATCAATGATATCTCATGCAAAAAATTTGATTTCCTGCATCGACAATGGGCAACGATCGGAAGAACACCATAAAATATACCATTGTTGAATCTGATTCTAAAGTCCTCACCAACATCTTAAACGATAAATCTAAATCCACCATCACCTATCTTGAATGTTGTTAAAATAATAATAATCTTGGAATCTTTTGTTGCCTACTCAACTATGCATTTTTATAGGGAAGGAAATATAATTTTGCTAGATCTAATAGATAGAAGTTTTTGCCATTAAAATGTGTCAGCTAATCGAGTTGGCAAAGATGTTGATAGTTTATCGTAACATCTTTTTCAAATGTGACAACTAATCCGACCGAAAAAGATTTTTATGACTTATCATAAGTGTAAGATCTTTTTCGAAGGTTCAGTTAATTATTATCTTCATCACTTATTTTATTTATCATCGAAAAACCTCGTATAATTGTAATTAAAAAATACTCCGATACCGACAACTATATTCCGACCTTATAAGTTTCTTTAAACTTTCTCCTTTTTTAAGAGTTAAGTGAGGCAGAATTGCCTGTGCGCATGTGAACGTCCTCTTATTCTTTGATTGATGAAAGAAAGAAATATTCTTGGGATTGATAATATACTTACTTGTGTTCGTCTTCAATTATAATATATCCAGCTTTACCAAATGTCGAATACCTCAGAAGCGATTCTAACTTCGATGCCGTTCCTATTTGATCCTTCATACCATTTATTATGATCGGATGTTGTGAGATAATTGATTTCTTAACTTGAAATAAACATATAAAATGATAAAAACATAAATAAATTCTTCTTTCACTTTCCATCATGCTTAAACCAAAGAAAGAAAGAAAGAAAAAGAAAAAGAGAAGATCAAAGTACCTTACAAAGTCACATATTATCTATCTATCTATCTATGAGACGTCTGTTTGATCGTTGGGTTTCAAGAATCCGGCAGATGAGATGGGGGATAGCTTTCAAGTTTTGATTCTTTTCTGCTTGCTTTCGTGTCTTGTCACGTTGATATGACAGAATTAGGTCAGGCTGATAGCACCCCACTCACCAATCTCGTGCCTCCTCCTCCTCCTCCTCCACTGTGACTCGCACAGTGAGTGAGACCTCACCATCCAACTCGAGGAAGATGAGAGATATCTATCTACGAGAATTAGGGACTGACTGTCCAAAAAAAGAGAAGCTACTAATGACAGCAACACGTTTGCATTATGTGATCCCATATGAATATATTCTTGTGATCAGATTTCTTTTCTAAAGAACTCGCCATATGCATAAACGCAAAAAAAGAAATGCTAAATAAAATTATTCTCTAATTTAATTATATATATATATATATTAAAAGTTGAAATCGCATCAAACTGAGGCGTGTGTACTAAATAAATACAACTTTCGATCAGAACATGGATTGTTATTTGATCCAACTCATGAAATGGCATTGCTTTGTGAGAGATTGAAAGGATCCTAAAAAAGGAAGAGTCTTTTCCTTCATTCGTTCATCGAAAATAATATCAATAATATTTTTAAAATTTTATCTTATTTTTAAAATATAAATATCTCTTCTATGTTTAAACAAGTTAAATAAATAAATAAATAGGATGGCTCATTGGTTGACTACTATAAGAAATTATTGTAATGATCAAAGAAAATTTTGACACCAATAACATCATAATAGACGGAAAGATTGAATTTTCTTTTCGTTCCTTATATTTTTCTCCCTAATTTTTATCAAATGCTTCTTTGCTTCTATTGCTTCAATTAAAATGAACAGACAAGAAATGAAATTTGGAAAAGGTAAAAATATTATTATATACTAAAACGAGTCCCAAACACAACTTGAGTACGGATCAACAATTTAAATTCTCAACCTTCTCTCTTCCTCGAGCCCCAAAAAGCATCGATAAGGCAGCGGGAGACATGCTTTGTATCCCTCCCACATGGGACCAGAAACCCATGCATTCATTGCCAAAGTGGTAGTGGAAACCAAAGTTTCGAGCTTTCCTCCCTCCTATCCTAACATTGTGGCGCATCGTATGAACATCACACAAACACACTCACCTACGATATTACTCTCACATACTTAATCCCATCCCAACTCCTTTTTCCTACCCAAGCAAATCCTATTCCACGCATCGCAAATCCACCTCAACAAGCACGTTTAAGAGTGTTTCTAATGTGTTTTCTTAAAGTACATATATATATATGTGTATATATATATATATATATAGAGAGAGAGAGAGAGAGAGAAAAGATTAATATATAAATGGGAAGGAAGAAAGTGAGTAGATATTGACCAGCCAAAACCATAAGAAAAAACACATGAAAAGGAATCAGATTGGAGAGAAAAAACACAGACAAGTTTCTTCTTCCCACCAATATAAACATAAAATGTTACGTACACATCATGAGGTACGTAACCCCGTCCTCAAACATGCATGAATACGTACGTGCATGGCAAATGTCAGAAACTTTGCACTCGGCATCTCATTCTTCCAAACCAATTCGGTCCTAAAAATCATCATCCGCACAGATGTATGGTATCTGTATGTCAATCAATACTTACCTCGCTGGTTACAGGAGCTAATCATGTGACTGCTACTGCTATGGTCATTGCACCATGTGAAAGATGGTCCTCCACTAGAGATGCCCTGTTGTTAGGGCACGACTTGTGGAGCAACTGCATTGCCTTTCTTCCATGGACAGTAATCTGATTGAAGCTACTGTCCTTGTGGCTGATGGAGATGGCTACTCAATGTATGGGATCCACCTATTTGTGAGACCTATGATATTTATATATATATATTACATAAAAAAAGAGAGAGAGAGAGATGGGTAATGGGATTAATGAACTAGAGGACAAGTACTGTGTACCTGAAACAAAGGCTTACCTTTACCTTCTTCTTTCGAAGACGAAGCTCGAATCATCATGATATAGAGGAGAGAAGGATGTGATGAACTCATGGTTTTTGTATTTGCCAATTTTTGGCATTTTTATATACCTTTTTTCTATAAATTCAGCAACCTCCCACCGTTTTGTTTGCAGGCTGCTTCGCACCTTCGACAATAGGGTTTGGTGCTTCAGCACTTCATCTTTTAGACCTGGAACTGTTTAATTTCTTCCATTAATGCTGGCTTATTATTTTCCTATGATTCTTCTCTACGGCAGGTTGGTCGGTTCATGCATGGCTGCTATGTGACAGCTTCTTTTCCGCAGTCAACATCATCAACTGCTGGCTGCTTTAAAGATTCTTCCAGTTGTTGCTTCTTCATACTCTCAAACTCAGGCCTGCAAATACAAGTCAAGTTAATTTGATCAAAGTAAAAGTAGTAGTAGTAGTAGCAGTAGTAGTAGTTGACTCCTTTTGGATTCGTGATCGATTCTTTGGCCTTAAAAAGTTCAGGAAACTTGATAATTTCCACACAAGGCTTCTCCCATGTCTAACTTATAAGAATAAGGTCTTTATAGTGGATTAAGATGTGGGAGGCAATCAATATATGTAGGAAATGTAAACAGAAAAAGAAAGCATTTCATCAAAAACGCATACACTGACTGGTTCATCATGACAAAGTAAATAGATAGATAAGAAAGGTTTGCAGGGTAAGCTCGAAAAGCAATATGCATGATATTGTTCTTATGTCGAGGAGTCATCTTCTCTCTCTCTTTTTTTTTTTGTTTTTGCCGGTTGATGTTGATGCTGAAGGCATACTCAGCAGCATCACTGCATCGGTGGATTCAGGATCCAAGTGTGTTTCTGCCAGGTAATTTGTTGATAAGGACCATTCGGTCTGTGTCTATCTCCAAGTGACGCTATTATCAAGATCCGTGTGGGGGATTAGTCTCACAGAGCTAAGATTTAGTCTGTCTTACTCGTCCCCTAAATTTGATCCTAGCATGGGAACATCAGATGCTCGTAAGACGTTTCAGAAAAGCGGACAGATCTCGTATGCGGAGATAAAACGATGAGTCGAAGGTGTAATGCGGATGGAGATGGAGACCAAAACCAAACGTAAAAGAGGGAGATGCTGGCAATTTAATGGTGAGTCAGAAGATAAGATGGAAGGGAAGAAAGAGGTGGAAACTTGATGTGGGAGGCACAAGTTGGAGAGAAGCCAAGCGGTGACCCACATGGCTAAGAGAGTAGGATAGCCACAAGTGCACACACTGATGCTGACCCACGACCTAAACTCTTAGGTTAAGGAAAAGCTTCTGATAAATGTAGATTCGGATAAGTAGAGATGACACATGCAATGTGTGTGTGTGTGTGTGGCGCAAAGATTCCTTGGGGGAGCAATGAAAGAAGGGAGGGGAAACATCGGTCGTCGGCATGGGTTTGGGTGTGGCAGCCAGATGTCAAGCGGTGCCATGTGTGGCAGCTGCAGCAGCAGCAGCAGCAGCAGCTGCAGCTGCGTTGCTCACATGCATGGCATCATTCATCTCCCGTTCGATGTTGTTCGGATCGGTGCATGCTCATGAATGGAATCCGGGTTTTGTTTCATGTGCAGCAACAGAAATCTAAGTCTTCTGAGCACCCAACATTCTGGCAGTGCAGTGAAGGCCATAAAGCAAGTCCAGGAAGAAGAAGGCCTACCACTGCTGCCGCTGCTGCTGCTGCTGCTGCTATCCCTATCCACTGACGACTGACAGGGATCATATAGAACACAGGTCTAAGCTCACTGCTGCGTGACCTATGATATGATGACCAGAAGAGGAGAGGGCCGGACTTGGACTGCGAGCTTCCCATTCTTCGTTGGACGCTTGCGATCAGAAGATCGAAGGGCTTTAAGAACTGGGAGGGGGCAAAAGAAAGGGCTGGGACAGGGGAAGGACGCAGGCCCAGCTGGTCTCCCCAAAATGCATAGAAGTGGAAGAAAGGCGCAGGAAAGCAACCCGAAATAATGATCTAAATGAGCTTTAAAGAGGGGCCGGTGAGGACCACGGATTCAAAGCTCGGTGCTCTAGAAGGCGGAGCCGCCCCAGCGCGCACAGACAATCCATGCTCATTTCACGGAGGGAGGCGTGCGCGGTTCTCCTCCTCCTCGGGCCCATCCCTCCCACCACCAATAATGCTGTGCCACTGACGGACTCCCTCGTGTAGTTTATTACAATGACTCCGCGTCGGATACAGTAGAGACCTTTACCCTGTGATCCGCGACGATCACCTCGTGGCCATAACGATGGCTGGCTCAAAGGGAGTAATAAAGATCGTGTTCCGAGTTTGGACGACATGGTTTTTTGGCCGCGGCAAGCGCAACGCAGAGACCGACTTCCTCCATCTTATGATGTGTCCCTAAAATACTAACACACATGTGCTTTTGCTGGAAAGCTTGAAGCCGATCACCATTAACAAAGAGCTTCGGCCATGGCCAGCATATATTCGCTCATTTTTTTGGGGGGGGGGGGCGGGGGGGTGCAAGGACGGGAAGCAGCTAGTGGAGGAGGTGCCTATAATATAATCGAGAGAGAATAACTGCGAGGAGGAAGCGGGTGGAATTGATGGGAGCCAGTGGGGATAAGAGTGGCCTAAAAGCTGAGCCGGAGCCTGGCGTTCTCTTCTCTTTTTAACATACAGTGAGAGGGCAGAGAGAGAGAGAGAGAGGAGAGGAGAGGACAGGGACGGGTCCGGGCGCAATGATTACATGTGTCTCGTTCCGGTTCCTCGATCTCTCCGGGCCGTCGTGTACGCTGCTTGGGTTCGTCTCACCTCACGGCCCCCGACTCCACGTCACGTGACCGTGGTTCTTGTTGCTACTGAGAGGGACAAAACAGCCAATGGAAGGTGGGAGATGGTGCGATGGGGGTTAGCTTTTACCACCAGCGGCAGCAGAGATGACAACAGGAGGGGGAGACGGGGACGGGGAAAAGAAGGAGGGCATCCAGAGGACTGGGCAATAGGGGGAGAGGCAGAAAGAGTGAGACAGAAGAAAGAAGGGAGGGCAGAAAAGAGAGGGAAGGAGAGTGATTCAGAAGGTACTACTCCCCACCAGAAGGAATTTTCAGTCCCCACAGCCACACTCCCACCTCTCTCTCTCTCTCTCTCTCTCTCAACTTCTCCAACCTTCAACCACCCCCTATATATGTATGTAAGCAAAACTAAGTGAGGAGGAGTAGATACAGTTCATGGATGACAGATATTATAGAAGATATATAGCAGGTAATTATAGAGGGAGAGATTGAGTCAGAGGTAGGTGTGAGGAGAGAGAGAGAGAGAGAGAGAGAGAGAGAGAGAGGGAGAGGAAGAGGGAGAGACGGGGGAAGGGGGAAGGGAAAGGAGTATATAAGCTGGGGGAGGAGGCATAGGTTTGGTTTCTTCTTCTTCTTCTTGATATAAGAGCAGCCGGGGTGGCTTCTGGAAGGCGATTCCCTTCCGACACTGGCGCGTTCGCGGACTGGGTGGCCCCCTCGGCCGCCACAGCCAGAGGCGACGACCTCTGCCTCGGATTTAATGGCGGCGGCGGAGGAGGAGGGGGAGGGGGAGGCGGAGGCGGCGGGGGAGTAGTGTGGGCTGGCCCTGGCTCGTCGGCCGCGGCTGGGGGCGGTGGTGGGAGGCAAGACATTAATTACGGGATACCTACCGATATGGGCATGGTGGTGCTGGCCTCCGCCGCGTCCTTCCACCAGCAGCACCACCACGAGTCGCTGCTCGCCTCTGCCGCGGCGGAGCAGCACCCCATCATCCCCCTCCTCGCCGCTGCGCCGTGCCTTGTCGAGGATGACAACCCCGCTGCGCGGGCCAAGCCCGGCGGTATCCACCTCTGGCAGCCGGTCCTGCCCCAGCCGCCTCACCACCTCCCGCCCGCCCATGGAAGCAACCCTAACCCTAATGTCACTCTCTCCAATTACCTCAGAAAGCCCGTGCCTATGCTCGATCCCACAGGAATTCTCGCGGGTGCCGGCGCCGTCGCCGCGGGGGGAGGGACGTCTACGTGCCAGGACTGCGGGAACCAGGCCAAGAAGGATTGCAGCCACCGGAGGTGCCGGACGTGCTGCAAGAGCCGCGGGTTCGAGTGCTCGACCCACGTCAAGAGCACCTGGGTCCCCGCCGCCCGCCGCCGCGAGCGCCAGGTCTCCGCCGCCGCCGCGGGCTCCTCCGCCTCCACCTCGGCGCCCAAGAAGCCGCGCCTCGTGGCCTCGCAGACCGGGACCGCCTCCCACACCTCCACCTCCAACACCACCCCTCCTCGTAGCTTCGACACGACCTCCAGCCACCAAGGTAACGCCCCAACTACTCCATTCTCCTCCAAATCTTCGCTCAACCACGCACGCGTAAAAACCCTTCCTTTATTCCCTCTCCTTCAGACGCGAACGTCAAAGAGAGCCTCCCGGCGCACGTACGAGCCCCGGCGGTGTTCAAGTGCGTGCGAGTCACATCCATCGACGACGGCGAAGACGAGTACGCCTACCACGCCATGGTCAAGATCGGCGGGCGCGTCTTCAAGGGCTTCCTCTACGACCAAGGCCTCGACGACGGCGGCAGCCACGCCGACGACGCCAAGGACGCCATTCCCAACATCTCGGAGCTGCACCTCGGGAACAGAAACGGTGGCGCTTCTTCGTCGTCGCCGATGCTTCCCTCCGACGTCTTCGGAGGCAGCGGTGGATTGATGGGAGGCACCAACTACGGTAACCAAATGAACTGAACTCCTCCTCAGCATTCTCACACACGCACCCAATCCTCTCACTGAGCTCAACAATCCCATCTTTTTTAACGTCGTCGTCTTGTGTTATGTGAGACCATGGATGCCCGGAGGTGGCCGTGAGGGGTTGGTTGGTTCTACATGTTGTAACCATATGTGTCTTCTCTATCGACTCGCCTTCTTCTTCTTTCTACTTGAGAGACTATTATTTCTCGTTCTAATAATTCTATTTGTTGCATCCTCTCTCTCTCTCTCTCTCTCTCTCTCTCTCTCTCTTCCGGTCTTCTTCCATGTGCAACACAGTGTTGCACTGCTATGAGGTGATTGGGGCTTTCTATTCTTTGACTTCTCTCCCAAATATGCTTTCTATTTCGAGGAAGGAAAGTGGTGCAACGCAGTTGCATTAGGGTGGGAGCCTGCGCCCTCTTCTCGACTGTTTCATTCATGTGATATGGTGGGAGGATGTGTTCTTTATAAATGGCTTCATGCCTTTCAATTTTGCTGGGTGTGTTGAGAGTGGGTGTGGGTGCTGTAGGGCACTGCATTGGAACTTGCATCCGAACGACGCTTTCTCCATCAGAGCAATGGGTAGAACGGTTCATCGACTGGCCGTAAGTGAAACATGGCCTGCTTTTACTGCTTGCTTTCTTTTCCGAGGGGTGTTGATATGGCATCAGGTTTACTGTTCTTCCTGTTCTTTTTGCCATCCCATCAACTCTTGCCTGTGAACCTCATCATAGCTGCACAATGTATTGCTGTGCTTGCATTATTTAATTGTATTTGTAGCTTAATCGTATAATCTCGTGTATTGTCTTTTTCGTTTGATCATCTTGAACGCACACACACACTCTCTCTCTCTCTCTGCTGACTGGCTCTTTAATCATGGAATTAGCTTTTCTTGATGTGCTTATGGTAAACAAATCTTTATTGCCTTCTATCTTATTATCCTTTGTTCAATATTAAGATGGACTTCTTTGTTTCTTTGCATAATTAGATTCAAACATCGGTTCCCAATCTTTGATCCAACTTTTCTGGTTTTTGTAGCTTGTTTTTGGAATGCACTAGTATGAACCTGATCATTTATTTGGCTCTTGTATGAACCAACTAATAAGCATGAAAAGGAAAAAAAAATTTGATCTTGAGCATGCCTCACCTTCGGTTGAGACTTTGCTTAAACTAATTCCGAGCATGATTATATTTGATTAAGCTTGTCTCATTATACAGGTAACCAAGTTAGGTGTTTTATCGTCATGATTATATTTGATGTCAAAATGATCATTGTAGACATTGTTACAAGTCCAGCTTGAAATTGATTCTGCAGTTTTGGTTTTCGAGCTTAGCTCATTTATACAATGGTAGTGTTTTATCCAAAGATATCTGATATCAATAAAACATCATTCACTCATTCATGAAATTGAGGGTACCTGTATTAAAGACAAAGCGATGAAAGTTCTCTTTGTTCATTTACCATCTCCAGTTTTCAACAAAGAATCATAAACTTACGAAATATATTACATTTATTTCCTATTAGACTCTTTAGATATGTAGTTCATCTACATGAACGCCGAATTTTCTGTCAATCGGACTGGCTATACATTCAAGTCGAGTAAGTTGTCCAGAATCTCCTCCTGCATTTGCCAGTTCTAGCAATAACAGAATATTTCAACATTTACACTCTTCTAATTTTCTAGAACAAATGTTTTCGACTAGAATTATGGCTTGATTAGTTTAATTCTTGATCTCTTGCGGAACTTGATATGACAAAGATGGTTTTTTTTTAAGGACAAAAATGTTAAGGGTTTCTACCTTCAGTATGATAAGTGGCTCAGCAGCCTGCCAATTTTATTTGATAAAATGTCATGATATGCATATAGGTAAGTTTTGGGCACCTTTATAATCTGATACCTGTGTGTGTTAGATAGAAATCGGTAAGTCATGCTACTTTACTAATAAATGCACTGCCACAAACTCAGCTCAGACAAAAAAGCTTGATGCTACTTATTTCTAAAGGCAGTGCATCCTCTAGTTCATGAAGTTGATAAAGAAAACTATTTTAGGTTCTCATATTTGACAAAAATTAACAATGTTTTAACCAACAAGGTTGCTTATTGCTGTTTTTCACGATTAGATGATGCCAATGTGCACTGAGATGAGTTACTTTTTGCAATACATAGGTGCAAATTCTATATTTCCTGATATAAACTTCTGATGTTGTCTCCAGACCTTGAAGAATTATGCATTTATTGTGTCCCTTTGTTGCCTTGAAAACATCATGTTGATTTCAAAACTACTTGTTGGTTAAGTGGTATAAGCACAAATGAGCTCAATGTTTTTTTGTGGATGAAAATCCATGTGACCTTTGTTGTTTGTGAATGGATTTCTAACTTAAGTTTGTTAATGAACCTTGAATTTTCTTGTAGAGATTATAATGTAGCTAAATTTGTTACTTGAGACAAATAATGATCTAGTCTTCTTGGTTGCTCAGTATATGCAGAAAAAAATGATCTCAACAATATAGAATCATGATATATGCTACATTGGGACAGCTTCTGGAACATGCAACCTTGAGCATCATATATGCTTAAAACTAATATAGAAAGAAAAGATTGATGACCTTGCGGACACTGGCCGGCAGCAAATCAAACATGAATAGTAATAAAATTTGCTGAATGGAAGCATGATTGGCACCAAAAATATTGCATCTGTAAGTCAAACAACTGCCAGTCATATGTATAGCATTATGAGGAGGAATCTGTTCCTTGATTAATAGCCAAGCTTTGTGCTGGAGGAGGAATCTGTTCCTTGATTAATAGCCAAGCTTTGTGCTGGAAGATACATGCTATGGCAGGAAAGAACAAGTATATCTTTTCTGGAATAATTTGTAGGCATGTAGAACATGATATTTTAGATAACAAGTTGTTCCAGGTAGTTATTAGAACTCCGATAAAAGTAATCGGTAATATATGTTTAGCGCACAACTCTGTGATGGAATGATATTACATTGTAAACAAACTGTATCATTATTAAGATGGGCACCAACCTAGAGGGAACTTATTAGGACCTGTGAGTTCGACTTGGTTTTTGGTGATGAATTGGAGATGCATTTTAAATGTTTTGCTAGATATCAATAAGCTTGCAAAGTGGGATTCCTACGGTATTCATTTTTACCATGCTTCTTATTTCCAGATCTGAAGTGGTTGGCATATTTAATGGACTACCTTGCTGCATATGTTGATATAGTGCCTTTACATTATTCTAGTTTATTTCTTTTACCATCCTAGTCTAAATTCAATATTAACTTGCCCATGTTTTTCTTATGTAATTTATTGTTGTTCTTACATTTCAAAATTTTGCTTTGCTTGAAGCAAAATGAACTTATAGTTGCTTACTCTTTTGAAATTTTGCTCAGTTAAGTAATGAAAGTGAGTTTACAGTTAATTTCATCACTGAGAGAGTGAGACTAACCTCTATATTTCCATTCACTTCACAAATCAACCAGCATGCGGTGTCCAGGTTCATTTACGGGGTAATCAACCATCATGACATTTGAGACATGTTTTAGATAAAAGTTAAATGATGCATCAAATTTCATACAATGATCTTTTGAATGTTTAGTACTAGAAAAAACTACATAGATCTCAGATAGTGGACTGAACTGTGGACATCTTTCCTTACAGTTTGCTTAAACAATATAACATGTTCATTAGGACACCGTCCAATTAAAGTGCATGCTTATTTAATGTGTCTGGGAGCACATAATAATCAACGCTCGTCATGTGGACCTGGACCGGTCAGGTTTTATCGACCTAACATGAGCTTATATACTTGAGAACACATACTCCCATTTGGTATCATGTTGTTTAAGTGCCTTCTTTTGCTGTGCTAAAAGGGCAACCCAGTGCCAAAACTCCTATGCAATCTGATATGCAATTATTCTTCAACTGAAATATAAGTGAAGAAAAAGCAATTTATAGGAATTATTACTATTCGATTTGATGCATAAATATTTATGTTTATGATATGTTGTGCATGCTATGATATTGTTGTCTGGCTTAATCAAGAAAATAGAATGAGCAAGATATGGGAGCTGATCCTATATTCTTTTG